AAGAACTGACAAAATCTTAAAACCACTGGTTGCTCCTTGACCTGCCCTGACCATAACAATTCAGAAGTTTCCATGAGACTTCCCTGCTGTGGCAAATGAATGTCATCAATGCTGTTTTAATAATGTTTAAATAGCATATTTTCCAAGCTTCTTTTCATATTTTCATATCATCATTTTATGAAAAGGTAATTGCAGCATGAGGGGCTTGAAAGTTTAACAAGTTACCTGCTTTTAAACATTGAATAGGACTAGTGTAAATTTTTTCTGCTTTCTAAATGTACTTTCTCCTCTTGAGTATTCAATGAGCTTTGGAAATCAGCTCAGCAATTACCCCACTGATTGGTGCAGCTTCTCTTCCATGTTGATAGCTTCTCTTACAGCTCCCAAGAAACAGATCCTCTATGCACAACCAATGGCTGAGAGACTTAATCTTTCCTTTCTAAGAGGATCTTCTGAAAGATTTTTGATGTAAAGTCTACACATACACATGAATATGCACATGCAGTCATGTATGATTTTGACCTATTATAAGTTATTTTGTATTATTAATAATGGCTCATGAAGACACATATAGCCCACCTCTCATCCTGCTTCCATAGTACTTAACAGTGTAGGTAATACGTTAAACTCTGGATGCCTTGATGTCACTGGCAAAGCTTCAATGGACTTCACTGTGTGCAGAACTGACATCCATACAGATTTTCATGCTATTTAATTTTGACTGCTTTCCTGGAAGATGCACTCATCACTGTAAAACAGTTAATGGGAGAGCTGGAAGAAATAACTCTCGACATACACTTCTTGAAATGCACTTAGTCTGTTTCTTATGAACTGTTTCAAAAATTAAACACATTGTACCCAATTCGACAAGTAAACACAAAGAGAAATTATGCTGCATTAAGTTAAATGCATTTTTAAACATCAGGGAATAACATAAGAGCAACCAAAGGGAAAGCAACAGAAAAGCAGGATGACTGCACTGAGAACAACATATCCCTCACCTAAAGCAATCAGAGGCAGGAGTTGGATCCACACTCCTGTTGACTCTGCGCATGAAAATCTCAACAAATAAATCAGATTTTTTCTTTTAAAATACAAATGATGAAATTATCATAATATTTCATTTGCCTACTTCCACTCCTATATACTAGGTAAGATCCTGTACAATTACTGTCTCTTTTAGTCCCATGTTCTTATGCTCAGAGGTTTCTATTCAAACACTAACTGCAATGACAGATCCCATTTATTAGAGTGCAGCAATCATCTAATCATCAGCTGACCCACTGATTATTTGTCTATTCCTTTTATGTATCAAAATGTAAATGTGATTTCTATTTCCATTCAAAGCTTCAAAAGGGATATTTAACGACAGAGCTATAAATGGCAGAGGATCCCTGCCTGTGGTTTCTCTCTGGCATTTTTAATGTACATTTCCTTTTACAGCCACAGCTGCTTGAGTTTTCCTGAGGTTCTGCTGGAGATCCTCCTACAGAAAGGGCAAGTTCTGCTCTAAACCACAGTGCTATAAACAGATTGCTGAGTAACACGCCATGTTCGTGTTGGAAATTACAGCTACAGTTTCCTTCTACATAGTACAATCTTGACACACCGTATAATGTAGCCTTAAGGCTGCAGAAAATGGAAAGTCTACAGAATTTATAGCAAAACTACATTTTCTTTGGTCTTTTGTTTCCTCTCCTCTCTTTTATCTTTGCTGTATTTTGAGAGGTTACTTTTACAAGACAACTGCAGTGATAAAAAAAAAGGATAGGAATAATGAAAAGAAAGGACGAGGAAGAAAGGAAAGAGAAAATATTTTAAATGAATCCTTGTATAAAAAAAAAAAAACCCACACATATATGCCACTCACAGATTTCCAGGACACAATGAGTTTAAATTACAACTGGGAGTTCATAAAAGTTTCAACCTACATTTTTTATACCAGCAATAGGGTATCTAACTCAATGTCCATACAATTAATTTTAATAGAAATAATTTGGGAAGTGCTTCCAGAAGACAGGCATCAACTATAAGCAAATTGTAAGTTGTCTGCTTTGGGTGATCACCTATCCTTTAGGACAGGGCAAAATAAAGCCCTCTTCCTAACTCTGATTAGTAGCATGATGCTCAAGGTCCTGCCTCACATCAACCTATGTTATGCTGGAAAAACACCATGAGAGCTCTGATACAGATCTAAAGCAATTTAAACTAACTCTTGCTACCAAGTATACCAGGAACTCATAGAGATGCCATAATCTGTGCTAGCCAGTCCTTACCTAGCGGATGAGTAAGAGCAGAAGACAATTCCTCTAGTCCTTACAGATGACACTGAAGAACTCTTAAGCAGGACCTCCAGTAGCAGACTCCACCTCCTCTAATCGTGTCAAATCTTTCTTTGGTTTAGATTATCATAATCCTTTCAGTTCCTAGGAAAACTAAAAATGAATTGGACTGCACTGAACAATATCTCCAGTTCCTGTGGCATTTGGACAACACAGTCATGAAAGTATTGATTCCCTCAAGATGTGCAAGTGCTATTGCGCCAACATCCCAGAGGGTGAGCTAAGGTTCAGGCAGAACAAATACCCTTCTCAATGTTGCAGAGGAAGTCAGAGGCATAGATGGGCTTTAAATCTTTGTCATGGCTTAGAGTAATATCAAAGCACTACAGCAGGACCTTATATAGTGATTTCACTGGGACTACAGGTGCAATTTATTTGGGACAAGTTTAAGAAGCGTAACTCTAATAGTAGCTCTGTCTACATTTAATCAGACCATTTTATTGATCCTCTGCACAGAAGTCATTTCATCTTCTGATGATTCACCTGCTTCTAACTACAGGTTCCTGACATTTTCCCTGTAATAAGTAATTACAATAATTAATCCACTTAATATAGGAAATGAGTTGTTAAAATAGATCTATTGGCTCTATTATAATGGTATTGTGAGAAGATTTGCCATTAGTCATTTATGGCTGGTTATTTCAAAAGCACATTTCCATACCATTAGTTTTCAGGGCTACCAGAAAAATAGATCACAAGATATAATGACATACGATAAATTAATCTATGTTCATTCTACTTCACATTAACAGTAAAGAATTGTGTGGGACACTCCAGACAAGAAAGCCTAATTGCAATTATTTAAATTCCAGATAGTCTAAGTCACCAGACTTTATAACTCAGTATAATGTTTTCTTGCCCAACTGCTATTTCAAGATTATCTTTTTCTTCTCAATTCTATCATGGAAATGAATGGAATGGAGAAAAAAAAAAAAAAAAAAAAAAAAACTTCATTCCCAGACTATTCCCATACTGGTATGTCTCGAGAACAGAAGCAGATGAAATACTGCGCAGGAATGAAGTAGCATGTGGCCAAAATTGGCAGCTTCAGAAATTAAGCTTTTCTTTAAGTACAAGTAATTTTCAAGAAACTGCAATTTCCGATTATAAAGCAGGAAATCAACAGCTGTGTCTATGCCTACACTGATAAAGGCACCCAGGAAATCCCTTGCACCAAGCAGTATGGGTGCCTTATACCCTTGCTCCTCAGGACTAGTCCCTTCTGATCATCTCCACGGTTGGACAAGGCTACAATGGGGCCCACAGGGTGTCTTTAAGAAGTAATTACTTGTGGGTTTATCTAATTCAAGTGTCTGCAAACATGTGAGGGCTGTGTCACAGCTTCCTAGGTTGAGTTTAACAGCACAACACTGAAAGTGTGTGGCACACCCTGGGTGTGTTGTGAGAGTACGCAGATGTAGGTGATGCTGTGAGGCACAATGAGGTGACACTGAAAGACTGCTCAGGACTACCAGCAGTAAGCAGTCCTGCAGCAGTCCTGTACATATCACTGTAAGTTGGGTCTTGGAGTGAATTGATCCCAAAACTGCACCCAAGCTTTGTCTCAGCAAGAACTAGATAACCAGCTTTTAAAAAAAAAACCAACCAACCAAAACAAAAACAGGGAGCAAACTGACTTGCAAATAACTAGGGGCTGGGAATGTGCTGGGGAGATAATTTATTTGGCTTTCTTCGTGTACCCTATATCCATTCTGATGGACTAAGCTGTAAAAACAGTAAGCATCAATATAATCATTCTAAAGCTATTTAAAGGAGTTAGGACATCCATAGCTATGTATTTCTTCGGTCTTGCATTTGAAGTGAAATTATCCAAAGAATTTATTTTGGCGTCAGAGTTCCAGAATAAAAGCTTAAAACCTAAAGATTTGTGAAATACATCCCAAGTCCTTGCTTCATTTTATTATTGTACTACATAGAACACATCAATATCCAATAACTATCACAGCAATATCTGTGTTACACAGCTGCAAAACACCACTATGAATGCTTTCCATCAGTAACTTCAGAACACCAGTAACCTGAGACTGTAAAAATGTTTCTATTCCTATGTTTTCTTAGTGCTTTTTATCAAGATTTAACTTCAAACTCAGTTTGGTTTTAAGTCTGTCCAGGAGAACAAAGTCTCCAGCTAGCTCTCCCTCCAGACACTTTTCCTATGATGCTCAGCCCACAAACAGACCTCTGAACTGGAACCCATAAATTCAGACAGGAGTATTTTCTGGCTAGTGTTTGGTTACTCTTTAACCATCCATCTCTGTCTGGGCAAAAACTCTTGCAAATAATTAAGTATCATAACAGTAATTGGCAAGAAATAAAAGGGAAAATTTGCAAGCGTCTGATGAATGTCAGCACCATACTATAAGCTCCTTTGGAAGATAATTCCTACTCCAGAGTGGTATTAAGGAAATCAGATGAAGACTCACAACTATAAATAGATCAAAGATAAGGTTTACCTTAGTCAATACAAACTATCTTTCTTACAAAATACTTTGTTACAAAACACACTTTCAGTGGTATATAGTCAAACTAAAAGAAAATATTTCTTCTTGAATGCACGGACTCTGAAGTCACCTAGAGGGGCTCTGTTTGGTTAGGCCTTATTTTGTTCATTTAATTCTACAACATCCTTTTTCTTACCACGCAATATGATGTCATGCTTGTTCAAGCTGGTGGAGCTAGAGCTCCCAACCAGCTTCTCAGCGTACAGTGAAAAGGTCCATTTTTTAACAGAGTAAACGTGGCTGCCCCCACATACACACCTGAAGAAACATGCAAAAGTGCATGTTTGTGCAGTGAATATTTAAATGTGCACTGACTGAGTATAAAACAAACCTGTGAAATTCCCTGTGCTGCTTCTCAAAGCCCCACTTCATCTCTGTACGTGCTCTGACTTTTCAGGATATTTTTAGTGCACGAGGCAGCTTTTCAAAGACCTCCTAACTCTTGTAACGCATCTTACAAGCATAAATCAAATCATGTTGGCCAACTCTTTCCATACAGAACTGCACCTTTAAATACCTCTAATGCCAGATGGTCTCAGCATATAAAGCAGCATGAGACAACATATTAATGCTACTCAAACAAGCAACTTGTGCTAGCAGCAGACCAATGAAATCAGCCTCAGGCTGCTAATCCTCTCTGTCACCATGACAACATCTATTTCAGACAATTCTTCAATTTTCAAGTCAGATGAGCTTGTTGGCCCTTAAACTTCTCTATTCAGGGGGTATTCCGTTGTCAGGTATTTTTTCACTTTGTGTTGGCTACTGTTGTAATACAGAATATATTTTTATCAGCTGTCCTATGGAGTATCAAGGAACAGATGCTTCTCTGTTTCTGTTTATTTATAGACTTTTCTGCTAAAGATTCGCACTATTTATTCCTCCTATGGATTTGTTCCCTTAACTCTAACACATGGAAACCTTGCAAATATGTCTCTGTTGTGACCCTACCTACCCATGCTGGAAAAAAAGAATTGGTACATTCTTCATACTGCTCCGCTATCAAGGCAGATTTTTAAACAAACAAACTAATAATTGTGTATCTGCAGCAGGTAAATAGGGAGACAAACTCTTAATTCTTCCTCTCCATATGCCTGTTAGCATAGCTGACTCAGCACAAATATTGAGGCTACTTGCTACTAGGAAAAATCTGACAGGAAGCAAGTAGGAACCATATCTTAGAGGTAGATCAAATGCTGAACCACATGCGATCTATCAAGTACCCATGTACTGGGTACGTGGCATAGCCACACGCTAACCTGCAGCATGGAAGATGAGAACCTAGGATGTTCTTATCCAAAAAGATGAAAAATACACAGCAGAGCCAGGAAAGAGGCCAGACAACCTTTATCACAAAATCACTTTTCCTCTCTGTGAAACAATTTGCTACAATGATAACGCTTAAAGTTTGAACACTTGATAGCGCAACTCCCAACTCCACATTTTTTTTTCTTTTCTTCATCCCACTATGTATTGATGTCACCAAAAAGAAAGAAATTTCATTCAGAAAGGCACAAACTTTGATCACTCATTCCTGAAGCTATTACAGAATCAAAGTCACATTTAGCCTTCTTTGTTAAGGGCACACACACAAGTTGGCTTGAACACTAAGATTTATAAACCTCCTGCTTATAACAAAGACTCAGATGTACATCTCCCACTGACTTCAGTTTGATTTGTGGATGCATAGCAGCTGGATGGGAGGAAAATTAAAGCACTGTCTAGTCTACATCAGCTGAAAATCTCATATGGAGAGTCAGCTTACCATAGTCATAAAGTTTCCTTTGAAGTAATATTTTTTTGCATGTGTAAAAAGTGTATATTTAGGTCTTAGACTCACCCCAATTTTGCTTATAGGTCTAGAACTGTGCTTTTGTGCAATAAGCCACAAAGCAGAGCCAGCCAAAGCCACAAAACATTCAATTCAGCATAGAAAAAAAAAAAGGCTAATTTTGAATTATAACCATGCAAGGAATACATCATTCTTAACAGTGAAGGACAGTGATGTGTAACTGAAGAACTGTCATACTGTGAACACCCTTTACTTCTGAGGGAACAGAAATAAAAGGACATTCAAATGACATATCTTGCAGTTAGATATCTCAGGGGGAAATCATGCAGGAATTCATACACATTACCTAGTTATCTCTAATATGATGGTAAAGGAAACACAACTACACAAAAAGCTTTGAAATGTCTCACTATCCTTTCACTTTCTTTGTATCTTTCAACTATTGTTGTATTTCTCATAGCATAATACAGCATGGTTTCTTTTTTCTGAAGAGCTAATATAGAAAAGTTTCTAGATAAGAAAAAAAATCTACCAGGTCATTAGACCTAGCAAGGCTGGGATACCTGATCAAACAATTGTTTCCACTCCGCTTTAAGGCAGACTGATACCTAAGGATAAGAACTGAACACAGCATACAATGCCTGCTCTTGCTTGCAGCCAGAGCAGTATCTATCTTTGTTTGTAAATCAGGTAAATCATGCTCCACAGTCATGAACAGCTCCATACAAAGTATGACTACCTCAGCTTGCTCCAGGGCACTTAATTTGTGCGTAAACCAGGACGTCAGGTTTTGCTCATAATTCAATATGAGCAACTACCAGGAAGCAGCTAGTAGCTTATACAGTTATAAATGTCTCACTCTGGAAAACAAATTAACTTTTAAAAATGTTTACTGCCTTCAAACTGCCAACCACAGGCTTATGGCTCAAGATTCTCTCTTACCTGGCCATTGTAGCTCCACAGACACAGCTCTAACCTGTGCCTTTGCATTGACCCAAACCTCACAGCCCTCTGGCTATCACTCTGCAGCTGCTACAGAAAAATGTGTAAAAATCAGCTGGTGCTGATTCAGCTAGCACATTATGGCACTACGGACCAAGACAACACTTAGTGTCCTCACGTCCAACAGTGCCTCTGAAAGAAGTAAGCAAGGTGACAACTTCAGTGCCACAGGGCAGCTATCACATCACAGTAGTACTTACAGTTTTTTCTTTATAATACAGCAGAACTCTTGATTCCCAAAATCCCAAATCCCAGCAAGTCAAGATCCTTTCTCCAACACTGTTGTTCTGCAGATCTCCTAACCCACCCCCAGTACACCACTAGCTTTCAAATTTATACTTGAGGTAACAAACACAAATCTATGGCAGCCAAAAAAGTTCAGATTCATGTCACATGGCAAATCAAACCTGCCCGCTCTGGTACCACTTTACTGATAAGGATTTTTTTTTTTTCAGCCTTTTAACTACAACAGCCCTTGGTGTCTTCATATAGCCTCCACATGCCAGAAAGTAAGTTTCAAATGTAACATTCTGATCCCACTGAATTCACTGAAGTCTGGTTTCTGACGTGCAACTTACTCCAGAATGAAGCATTTTAAGTATTATGTGGTATACACTTGTCCTGGCCTGAGCTAGAAGAGAACTAATTCTGTTCAGTGACTTCACTTTTCAGCTAAATCTTTTCTAACTAACTGCATTTTCTGAAGTTAACAGCATATTTTTGCAGACAACGTCTGCTTCTAGCATATGTTTAGAGTTACTACTAAGGACTGGTATGCAGAAAGTCTCTTGCTTACACTTGCTCCTGTGCAGACTAAGGTTGCTGCTAAATCTTGTGTACCAGGCTGGGGAGAGGGTAAATAAAAGGCCACACCTGCAGGGAGGAGCAGACAGGCCAGGTGACTCTAAATCAACCAACAAGGTATTCCATCCCATAGACATCATACTCAGTATAAAGCTGAGGGATCACAGCAGGTTCATGAGGTCTTAACCATACATTCCTGAGTTAGAAGCGTGCCAAATATTGACTCCCCTTATAGTCAGTAGAGAAAACAGCTGTTTTCAGAGGGCACTGCAGCCCAATCAAGAGGTCCACCTGCCAACCAGCAAAGGCAGATTATAGCATGAACGTGCAGGCATGTAAGCTTCTCAATCACACACCACCTCTGAAAACAAAAATTAGATAGAATGTACACAGAAAGAATTCAAAATTAAATTTTAATACTAAGTTATTGGCTGAGCCTAAAAGCAACTCCATTGTTACAAACAAAAATTACTATTTATTCTGAAACAGGAAGACCTGTCTTGCACTTTTTATCCTCTGTGTAATATAAAGGCTAGAGATATTGAAAACTAAATTACAGAAAAATAAACAGTTTCTCCTGACTAAAGTAATTTAAGAATATAATAACAAGGTCACTTTTGACAAATCACACAATTGCAATTTACTGCCTTTAACAAAATGTCTCACGAAATCTTAGGAAATCCCTGTGCTTTATGACTTCTCACTAATTTTCTGGAGCTTGCAGTAGTGTCACCATAATAAAACATCCCTTTTACCCCAACCAACAACAAAATAGTCTCACCTCCTATTTTCATTAGAAACTGTTAAGGCATTCTGCAGATGTGGGAGGTGTTGACAACTATTCTTTTCAAAACAAATTAAAGTAATGGACTCTTTCAAAAGGAGTGGGCTTGTCAAAGCCAGCCTAGGTCAGACCAACAAACTGTGAATGCTCTGCATATTCAGACTAATTTTAGGCCTGACAAAATAAAACAACTGCCTTGTGTGGAGTCATGTTTATTCTTAATGATTACAGACTTTTTACTACAGCTTGTTTGCCCTTCGTGTTACTCCAGCAAATAAAAAAGAAACCTCTGAGATGCAGTAGCCAGGATCTAGTGTTTTTGCAGGTAGCACACAGCCTCTCTTAACCCGTTTTGAAATGATCTTAACAAAAAGAGAAGTCTTTAAATACCTCAGCCAGTGAAGCAATTAGGAGTATGGGTCTTGTATCTCTAGGAAACGGTGCAGAGACTGCTTCGCACAGCTGCCTAGCCACACTTACTGTGAATTTCCATTGGCTTCAACAGAAACGTGAAAGGCATTAACAACTAGCTGCGAATGTGATCTATAAACACGCCCACCTCCCCTTGATTTTCATCAGTTTTGTGAGCACATTTTTCTCTTGGTATTCTACACCACTGTTTTTAGCTGAACATTAAAACTGAGATAGGAAGATAGGATGAATTAAGACATATTAAGAAAGCATTATTTAAGAATGAAAATATTAAGGAAGAAAAGTCTATTTTCAAATAAACTGCATGTTACAAAGTACATGATATAAAATATGAAGTCACTCAAGGCTCTTGAAAATAGAGCAGACGCTGTTATAAAACTTGCTCAGCGTGTACAGCCAGCCACCCTACTGCCAGAAAACCCTACTGCCCTCCCGAGACCTGCC